GTGCACACCTGCCCTCCCTCGTGTGTTTGTGATCAAGTGTCTCTGAGGATAAACTGTGCCATGTTCATTTCTGGCCTGTGTGTCCTGCCCAGAGAGCGGCCCACGGGGACTCGGCTTTGTGGGAGCTGGTGTGGTGCCGGGGACAGGAGGTGGACATCCGCGCCGGCTAGATGTGATTGTGAACCTTGACTCTGCTGCTTCCAGCTGTGTGACCCAAGGCCAGTCACTTGACCTCTCTGAGACTCGAGGCAGGGGGCTACTCGTTTCTGAAGGGTGGCTGTGAGGGTGGGGTGAGTTTGTGGTCTGATTCAGGGTCTCAGTTGCTGCCGATTTCGTTCTTGTTACGGCTGGTGCTTCTATTACAATCACACGTTGCTTAAGAATGGGGTAGGTCCTGAGAAATGCATGGACTTTGTGCGAACATCAGAGGCACTGACACAAACCTGGATGGTGCAGCCCACTCCACACCTAGGCCGTAAGGTGCCGCCTACTGATCCTAGACTACAGCCTGAACAGCAGGTTCCTGGGCTGAATACTGCAGGCCATGTAGCAGTGGTATCTGTGTATCCAAGCATAACTAAACATGAAAAGGTACAGTAAAGAGATAAAACGGTACAGCTGTGCAGGGACTGACCGTGACTGGAGCCTGCAGGACTAGAAGTTGCTCAGGGAGTCAGTGAGTGAGAGGGAAGGCCTGGGCATTACTGGACACACTGCAGACTTTATCACTCTGTCCCACAAGTCCTCCCCGGCTTCCTTCTGACAGGGTCAGAGAACACAGAGCTGTCAACGCTGCCCCATGAGCAGGGATGTGGGCTGGGTGGGAATATCGAGGAGAAAATGGCTGGGTGAAACACCGATCACCGTAACAGTGACTGTCAGGAGGGAGTGACGGTGGCCTGAGGGTCAGCAGGAATGAGAAACCAGGACGGAAGGGTAAGGAACACAGGGACTGTCATGGCCACGTGGGTGGCTATTGCCTGTAGGAGCAGTGGTCAGATCAAGGAACTTTGTGGTGGTTCAGGAAAAAGAGGGAGGGTGTTAACACGGAGAGAGTGTAGAACCGAGGACCCACTGTTTTGACTTTGGAAATTTGTTTTGGGTTCCCCGGCCCTGTCCTATATAATAAAAGGCTAATATGCAAATAGACCGAACCATGGAACAACCGGACAACCAAACAACCGGTCACTATGACATGCGCTGACCACCAGGGGGCATGTGCAGAACATGGCAGGCGTTGGCCGCAGCGGGATGGTGGAGCAGGTGAGTGGGGGTGCCAGACCAAGGCGGGGCACCAGTCACTATCATCAGGGCGAGCCTCTGGTGGTTACTGAAAATTCTTTGCTCCCATGTGCTGCGGTCCCACCCAGCGCTGGCCCCACTCACACTGCTGCCGGCGCCAGAGCCACTGCTCACACCCACTGCCGGTGCCTGGTGCCGGTCCCGATCACTTGGCACCATCAGCGGGTGTGAGCGGTGGCTGCCGGCCTGATCGCCCCTGAGGGTTCTCCACCTCCCCCTGCTCCTGAGGGGAAATCAGGGCAGCAGCTGCTGCTGGCACCGGCCCCAATCGCTCCGCGCCATCAGCGGTTGCAAGCGGGGCTGGCACTGTCAGCTCGTGGGAGCGGCGGGAGCGGGGCTGATGGCAGACAAGGGACTGGGGGCCGTGGCAGGAGGGCCTGGGCGGGGGCGCGGAGGATAGGCCGAGACCCACCCCTGGGCCTACCGCAGCCTCACAGCCCACAGTTCCTTTCAAGGTGCACAAATTCGTGCACTGGGCCCCTGGTCTGGCATAAAAGGCTCTCTCTGGTATTGAACTGATAGAAGAAATAAAACTTATCTATGCTTTACACCATTACAACCTGACAATATTCCAACGTTCAGGGGCAGGCTAGCCCCACAGGGAAAACTTACTGGAGTGGCCGTGGCACTTCATACAGGTTAAGGTGGCTCCCGTGGGCCCGAGTCTGTGTACAGGACCTGAGGTCCTCAACAGAGCACCTACAGCCGGGTCCTCTGAAGCCCATCAGCCAGGCCTGGGGGCTGCAGAGCCCTCTGACCATGCAGTGCTGGGGGACGGGCTCCTCTGGGAGGAAACAGGTCAGTGGCCGAGGGACTGGGGTGCAATCTGTGCGCTCAGAATTGAGGTGCTGTGAGCGAGAGGGAGTCTACTGCCAAGCTCCAGATACTGCTCCCGTCAGAGGAAAAATCCCCCTGAACCATAGCCTTCATTTCTCAGCAGAAATTCAGTAATCCCGTGGGACCACCGTCGAATATGCGGTCTGTGGTTGACGGAAACCTTGTTACGTGGCGCGTGACTGCACCGGTCATACTGCTGTCAGCCCTCTGCCTTGCGGATTACTTAACAGCCTTCTTTTTCCCATGGCTCAGGCTGCCCCTCCCACCCCCTTCATGATTCATTCGCACGGGGCTTGCATTGCTCCCGTGAGCACAATCCACAAGAACCTGTTCTGATGGAACAGGAACCTGACACCCTTTGACCTTGGCTCTTGGGGATGTGGCCTGAAACTCCCTGACTGCACAGTGGCAGCGGCAGCGGCAGCGGCTGGGAGCCTGTCCCCCGGCCCCACGCCCTCCCTGGGACTGGAACTTGGTGACAAAAGTGATTGTGGGCTGAACCTTGGCCAAGAGGGCCCCGCTGAATCCTTCCTTTGTGGTGGGAACGCAGCACAGCCAGTTGGTTCCCTGTAAATGAATGGAGCGGGGATCCCTTTCCCAGTTATGCAGCTTGGCAGGAAGCGGTTGGGGCGCAGGGAGAATGGTCAAGGAGCCTCTTTGTCGCTGGGGCTGGTCACGCTGCCAGACACCTCGACTGCCGAGAGCTCCTCCCCCAAAGCCGGCTGGGCCCACGCCTCTGGGGCTGTGTCTTCCAGGCCACAGTGCAGAGCTCACTGGCCATGTGAGGTCTAGACCCGATCCCCAGGTTCTAAACCATGTTCTAAAGAATGTCTGGGACTCAGCGAGAAGGGGGCAGGGCTGCTTTCTCTGGTTGGATTTTATTTAAATCACTGTCTTTACTTTAGGTTCATAGAGACTCCGGTCCAGGTGCGGGCAGGCAGTGAGGACCCACATGGGTCTCAGCCAGGTGGGGCACTCTGATGGCCAGAGCTGTGACTACCTTCCCCGGGACACAGCCCCTCCTCATCCACCCCCCCAAAAAAAAATCCCTGCTGGCTCTGATTGGCCTGAGAAGTGCCTGGGAGCAGAGATAACAGCTGCCAGTGGAAGTGGCGGGCTCACAGCTCTCCCACTCCTGCCGACTTCTACCTGAGAAGGTGCGGGAACTGCTGAAACCTCCAACCCCACCAGGGAATAGTGCTAGGGTCACCTTCTCGGGTCAGAATGGAAATCGAATTTCATCTGGGCACCTTGCCCATGCTGCTGGGAAATCATTTGCATATGATCAGGTTTCGGGATCCAGGTTCTCATAAAAATTAGCTCCCTCCCCTCCTCTCCCCCTCGGTGCCAATCTTGAACTGGGAATTTCTCTCAATTCGCATGGGACATGGGTTAAACGTTTTAACTCACCAGATAGTCATTCATTTATTCATTTCGTTTACAGACAGTGAATAGGTAGCTGTTACGTTCCCAACACACAGTGCCGGATACTGGGCACACAGAGATGAGGAAGACAGACAAGAGCATTCTTTCAGGGAGTTCACACTCCAGTAGGGGAGATGGCGAGCCACAGAGCAAGACTATGTAGGTTGTGAGGGAATGCCATCCACCCCAGGAGGGGATATCATCAAGAACTGAGGCCTGGGGTGAGCGAGCGGGCATTGATGTAGAGTGGTCAAGGCGATCCTTGCTGAGGAGGTGGCATTTAAGCTGAGAGAGAAAGTGGTCAAGAAGCCAAACAGAAGAGACAGGTGGACGAGTGTTTCAGGCAGCAGGAATAGCCAGTGCAAAGGCCCTGGGGCAGGACTGCTTAGTGTGACTGAGACACAGAACAGAGGCCGCTGAGGGTTGGCGAGCCAGGAGATGAGGTGTGAGAGAGGCAGGAGCCCAATCCAACGGGGTGGGATTTGAAGACCGTAGCAGAGGAGCTTGGATTTTATGCTAAGAGGAGTAGAAAGACATGAATGGGCTTTTGGAAACTCCTATCGCAGAAGAGAGATGCAAAGTTTAAGGAATAATAAGTCAAAACCCATGTACCCTCCACTATTCCCCTCCCCACCACCATGTCTCACTCCCCCAGGGAGGGAGCTGTTATCCTGAATTTTAGTTTATCATCTTTGCATTCCTTCCCAATGTTACAAAAGTGGACCAATCTATGGTTTGGGTGTGCCTGGTTCTGAACTTCATATAAACGGAATCTTGCTGCGTGTATGCAGTTTGCTTTTCTGTTCAACGTCACGTGTGTGAGAATGGTCCGTGTTGGTGCGTGTAACTGCGGTTTGTTGTTTTCACTGCTGCCTAGTACTCCACTGGGCAACACTGTCACGGCTCATCCTTTCTCCTGGGACATGACCTTACTTGATTTTCTAACGTTGAACCACCCCTACATTTGGGGGACAAACCCAATTTCATTGTGATGTAATATCTTGTTTTAAAAAACATTGCTGGATTCTGTTTGCTGAGATTTCGTTCAGGACCTTGGTTTCCAGGCGTGGGGGTCAGACCGGCCTGCCATTTCCCTTTCTTGCCTTGTCCCGTTTTGGTTTTGGTATCAAGGTTATATGTGCCGCCATCGTATGACCTGGGGGAGTGTTCCCTCTTCTTTTAACCTCTGGAGCACGTATACGATGGATACAACCATGGGAGGGTTTGGTAAATGTAGCCACCATGTGGTTACCCTTCTGCAACCCCACCTCTCTGGTACAGAATCTTGGCTTCTTTGGGTACAAGCTTCCTGGCACGTACCCCTACCCAAACCCATGCTCTAACTCCCGAAAAACAAAGGAAACGCACATCTCCCCGTGAGCGCCTCACACTGGATGCTCACAGCTGACTTAAGACGCTCCTCTGGTTTCTTACAGGCGGGTCCTTGACTCGAGGCTTGAGCATGAAGAGTTGTTTTCAGGCCTTTCTGGAGCCCCCCAGGTAACCACAGGTGAGTGCCTCTCTTAACTGGTTAACGATTTTTCTTGAAAACCCAGGCACAGGGTCCCTCACTTAGCCCAAGGATGGCCTTGAACATAAGCCATGGAGGGTCCAACTCCAGGGTCCGGAGGTGAACTTGGTGGAGCTGGGACCCCTCGGGTCCTGACACAGCCCCCAGGCCGTTCTGTTTTAGGAACACGTCAGACGCTATGTGGTCCAAATCCTCTCTGCACAAAATTAGCTTCTTTCCATATTTTTCAAAGGGAAAGAACGCCGCACTAAATATAACACGGTCAGCGAGCCAGAAACAAGATAAATAGCCAAGCTGCACCTCAGGGAGTGTTCACATCCTGCCCCCCCCCCTCAGGCCATCGGGGTCCTGGCTCCAGGGGGCGGTGCAATCGGCCAGCAACCTGAAGCTACCGCTGGACACATAACCCTGCCGTGAGCCCCCAAAACAACATCCTTTATTTCATTTTCCTTTTCAAAAAGCAACACGTGTACATTTCTGTTTTTGTTTTTTTTAAGTCTCATTTTCCCCGTGAGAAAAAGAAAGGAAAAATCAATCTAATCCCGTCACACAGAGAAAATAACTATAAACATTATGGTGTGTGTAAGCGAGGGTTTTGCAATGTGCTATGATACGTTAAGTAGCGTTTCTCAGCCTCTTTCCCACTGTCCCCTAAGGACTCGTTATAAACTCTCTTTTTGTAATGCTGCCCTCCCCACCCCCATGAAACTTTAAGACCACAGAGGTACTGTCTGTTTATGGCAGAGGTCCTCAAACTTTTTAAACAGGGGGCCAGTTCACTGTCCCTCAGACATTCCACACATGCGCACTGCGGGCCCGGGACGAGTCGGCTGCTAAGCAGGACAGGCAGCGGCGGCAAAAACACCCGGCGGGCCGGATAAATGTTTTCGGCGGGCCGCATGTGGCCCGCGGGCCGTAGTTTGAGGACCCCTGGTTTATGGACTGCGAGGGCCACAGACCACTCTAGTGTCGAAGTTTATTACACCGTCCCCCAAAACCAAGTTTTTCCCGTTGTGGGTGATCTCACCCCATTCAGAATACAGACTTTAAATAATATTTATAATAACAAGCCTTTCTATAAGAACTTACTACATGCTGGCCACACCCTGTCCTGGGTGCTTTTACTTACCATAACTCTCCTATGATATGAGGGCTAGAGAGCTTATCCCCTTTTCAAAGTTGGGGAAATTGGGGCACAGAGAGGTTAAGTAACTTGTCCACGGTCACACAGCTAGGAAGGTACAGAGCGAGGATCTGAGAGCACAGGCATCCTGGCTCCAAAGTTCACACTTAACCACCAAGCTATGTTGCCTTGCAACAACGCATTCTAATTGTAAAAAAAATCAAAATACAGAAATAGAGAGTAAAAGGGACACTTCCCAAGGCCCCTCTCTCCCCAGAAGCAATCATTGTTATAAATCTGGAATGTGCCCCTCATCTGGGATTTTTACACGCATTTGTAGATATGAAAATGTACTGTCTCTTTTTTATTTTAACATGAGTAGGATCATCCAGTCTTTTTTCTTATATATTCAAATATACGGATCTGTGTACATAGGCTTTTTAAATTAGCATCACACTGAGCTCACCGTTCTTTTAACCTTGCTCTTGGACTTTAAAATGCATCATTAGTTGCCTGGAGACCGTAATTTAATAAGCGCATGTTTTATTTCACCAGAACCAGGTTATTGGCTACGTAAGTCGCTTCTAGCTTCTCACTACCGTGCAGCTATGATGGATATCCTTTCCTTACACATAATTCTTAGAAGTGGGAATTGCAGAACCAAAGGCTCTAAACGCTGTTGAAACTTTTGATCCGTAAATGCCAAAATTTACCATCCAGAAAAATTGTATGAAATCGCCCATCCCAACACCCTCACCCTCCCTGGGTAGTATCAGTATCGTCTGTTTTCAATCTTTGACAATCTAAGGCCTAGAACGTGTGGATCCTGACGTGTTATCTCTGCCCTGGACTCTCATCTCGGGCCAGTTTACTCACTGACCGAATAAGGCAGCGCTTGAATGGAGAATTAACGAGGGGGTGGTGGCCAAAGTGGCCCTGATCGCTGGCTTCATAAACACACCATCAGCCTCCCAGGCACAGGCCGACCTGCCGGGACCTTAACAGGTGCTCGGTCTGTGGCTTTTCCACCTCCTGCTTCTAGCAAAAGCCTGGAGCTGCACCTCTCCACCACTGCGCCCTCTGCCTCTGCCTGGTCTCAGATCCGTTCGGCACAACCAGGCGTTCCTAGGGCTGCCAACCCCCTCCTCCTTCCCCTCGCTGGCCGTGAGCGATATTGTGAGAAACCAGTGCCTTGTGCTTACGGTAGACTGTTCCCAGCTGGTCCCACTCTATCTGCAGCAGGACCCCTGTGCCCTGCCTGTCACACACATGCACAACTGTGCACATGCACACACACACATAGAGGGTCACACACCATACACATGCGTGCATATGCACATATGTACACACACGCGCATACACATGCACACACAATGTAGCATGCTCAGGGTGCAGGCCCTCTTATGCCAGTGGGACGTCCGTCTTGCAGAGACTTTCCATACGCCCTCCAGCCCGGCTTAGGACCCCGGCTGCCTAACTGCGCAGCTCCTGTGTTTTCTTCCCACTTACGGTTATTCCTTGTGGACTGCTGGCTGCTGGCCCGGAAGCCCCACCCACCCTTACCTTGCTCACCCGTGTTTCTCTAGTGCCCGGAACACTGCTTAGCGGATGCACAGAAATGTGTTGGGCGGGGAGGGGGAGGAACAGACCTCAAGCTGATGAAGGATGTTATCCCAAATATTTCTAGAGTATTTTCTACAGAATGGCCAGTTTCAGAGGGAGGCCGTTGTTTAGTGAGAAAATATCTCCGAAGCGTCGGATTTCAGGCAGCCTGGTTAGCGTCCTCTGGGGAAGATCGGAAAGAATGCAGGATTGAAAAGGGGGCCTTGCCCATCTAAACATCCGTAAGCTTTGGCTGCCTGCAGAGGCTGCTGCCTCTGGGGATGAACGTATTGAGGAGTGGTCATCAGGGAGCACTGCTTCTTCCTGGATTTTTGGCCGGGTCACTGGTCCGTTGCTACTCACGTCATCTGTGTCTCCTTTGAGCTGAGGAGGGTGGGAATCTTGACTCTGCTTTCATGATGTTTGGAGTCTTGCACTTCCATGCTTGTCAGCCTGACACTGTGAGAGAACAGATAATAGATAAATATCTCTGTCTCACACGCGCGCACGCACGCGCACGCGAGCTTACTCGTCCTCCTTGGCCCCTGGACGTGTTCCAGGCTAAACCTTCAGGTGACTTGCTCACGTGGCTCACTCGCCCGGCCAGGAAGTGGTGATGGAGCCCCAGGACGGCTGGCTGCGCCCTTTAGCACGAGGTCTCTGAGCTGCTTCGAGGGAAGAGGGGCACAGCAGCTAAGGTGCGGACGGTGCAAGCTTCTGCCCCTTTAAGCAAAGGAAAACTCCATGTGGCTGAAGGGACGTGTGTCTTCATGCGGCCTCTGTTCATTTCATTCCTGTGATTCCGCAGACAGTTTCTGAGTCCCTGCTATGTTCAGGCACAGAGATGAGGAAGATATGGTCACAGGAAGAGAGAGACTTGCCACACTCGTTGCTGGGGGCTCGTAGGAGCACACAAAGGGGTAGTCACCGAACTGCAGAAATGCTGCAAGTGGGTGTGCAAAGAAGGGCGAGGTGAGCGATGAGTGGGAGAGGCAGGACCAGGCCAGGTCAGCTGTGACCCTCATTCTTTTGTTGTTGTTTTGTTAATCCTCACCCATGGATATTTTTCTATTGATTCTATTTTTTTTAGAGAGAGAGTAGAAAGGAGGTGAAGAGATAGAGATAGAGAGAGAAACATTGATGCGAGAAAGACACATCGATTGGTTGCCTCCCCCATGCCCCCCAACCAGGGCCAGGGATCCAGCTTTTAACAGAGGTATGTGCCGTTGGCCAGAATCAAACCCAGGACCCTGTAGTCCACAAGCCAATGCTCTATCCACTGAGCCAAACTGGCTAGGGCCATGACCCTCATTCTGAAGAGCCTGGAGTTTCAGCGGCAGGAAATGGGAAGCCGCTGAGGCTGCGGAAGACCCCAGTGGGCTGGCTGCACTGGGTCCCGTTGACCGATGCCTGTCGCCCAGGCGATTCTGCTATAGTCATTGATCACGGCTTATGCATGCCATCGTTCACACGCCTCGCATACTCCCGTGAGTCTTCACTGCACTTCATTTAATTCCACAAGATGTTGGAACGACCCGGAGGCCTGACCTCTCTGGCCTCCTGCAGGCAAGGGCCTGGCTGTTCCTTTTCGGGTGGGCGTAGGCGGGGCAGCCTGCCTGGTGTAAGACATCTGGAATGCATCAAAGGCAGCCCAGCCGGAGCCTGGCTCCGTCTCAGTGCTGCTCCCCAACTCCCTCCAGAGCACAGCCGCTGCGCGCTCAAAGGCCTGGTGGATCGCAACTGATTTTCCTCTCCTCTGCTTTCCTTTCAGCTCTGGCCGCAGCTGTCCACACCGATGCCTCGCGTGTGCCTGAGTTTGGCTGTTTTCTTAGTGGGCGCTAGGGATCCTGTTCAGTGCGTTTAGGGGTTTTTGTGGTGGAGGCGGCGGCTGCTTTTTAAGTTTATTTTCTTCCTTGGACCCGGGCCCTGCCCTGCCCCCGCTGACATGATGGCCCAGTCCAAGGCCAACGGCTCGCACTACGCGCTGACCGCCATCGGCCTGGGGATGCTGGTCCTGGGGGTCATCATGGCCATGTGGAACCTGGTGCCCGGGTTCAGCTCCGGCGAGAAGCCCACAGCCCAGGGCAACAAGACGGAGATAGGCAGCGGCATTCTCAAGAGCAAGACGTTCTCCGTGGCCTACGTGCTGGTGGGGGCCGGGGTGATGCTGCTGCTGCTCTCCATCTGCCTGAGCATCCGGGACAAGCGGAAGCAGCGGCAGGGCGAGGAGATGGCGCACATCCAGCACCTGCCGGGGCCCGAGCCGCACGCCCCGGAGGAGGACAGGTGAGGACGGGCCGACCACCCCCAGCACCCCCCCCAGACCTGCCAGGGCCATGCATGCACACACCCAAATATCGTAGCTGTGGGGTTAGGGAAGGTCTGCAGAGGTAGTCGGAGGGTGTGTGGCTTTATTTCCTTCACTAGAGTTTTCATAATTCAGTGAGGAGAATAGCGTAGTGAGGAGAATAGCGTAGTCTGGGAAGCTTTACCTTCCCACTCCCCCACTCCGGCTCCGTAACACAGCTCTTTATACATCCATCCCAGAGTCTCCCGAGGACAGTGGTATGAGCGGATTACAGGTGCCCCTAGATTTTGACGCCCCCAGGGAAGCGGTGTGAGGACTGGGGTGGCCCGAGCCTCCCGCTGGGCTGCCTGTCCATCCCTCCCGGCGTGCTGTGGGCATCTGCTTTGAGTGGAAGTGGTTGGGAAGCAGTGTTCTCTGTGATCACACATGCCCCAAACAGAATTAAAAGATGAGTGGTGTGTTGGGGATATATGATAAACGTGGATGCCCCTATTATCAAGAGCCCTTGCACATGAATAAAGACGAACACGCCGGTAGGAAAATGGACAGAAGGATACAGGCAAGCATTTCAGAGACGTCCGGACCATTGGTGATGTCCAACCTCATTAGCCACGAAATGCAAACACAGAGAAGGTGCCGTTACTCTTTGCCTCTCGTGCTGGCCGTGACAGACGGCCCGGGCGCTGGCGGGCTGCCGGTGGCCGCGTGACCTCGCAGGAGGGGAGTTCCACAGTAAGAGGCGGTGTTAACGATGTGGGTGCCTGTCGATTCTGTTCTGAGAGCTGATCCTTGGGAGACAGCCACACAAGCACAAAGGAGTTTGTGCCTCTGTGTTTCTCGGAGACACGCCCTAAATATCCATCCATCGGGCTCAATTGTGGCCTGTCCTTCAGTGACCTTTGGTGCAGTCACAGCTGATCTCTGCTTGCTGATGGGGGGCCGTGTCCACCACCCTGAGAACAGGAGGTTATCACACGGCATTTTCGGTGCAGGATGCTGTGTGATAACCCACAATATCTGATGCGACAACCGGGGCCGACGTGGAGGGCAGCCTCATGGCGTCCAGTGTTGTGGCTGTGGGGTGAGGTAGGGACGGATCTGGAAAGGTGTGCAGCAGAGCGTTAGCAGTGGGAGGGTTTGCGAGGGCTTTCTTTTCTTCACCGGATCTTTCTGTGTTTGAATTTTTTGCTATAAGTAGCTCTTATAGGAAAGAGCTACTTAGAGTGGGAGGGAGTTGTTTTTACTTTGGAAAACGTAAACCTATTTTCTGATAATAAAAGACAAGCGTGCACGTGCTAGAAAACTTGGGAAAGAGGGGAAAGAACAAAGAAGGAAAAGCAGTCCCCCATAATTACTCACCGAGCCGTGAGCTCACACGGTGCATGCCCGAAGGAGATGAGAGGAAAGCCAGACAACAGCAGGGTTTCTGATGCTGTTACCACACTACCGGTCCGAGTGTAGGGTTCTGGGAAATGGCTGTTGGCATCAGTCCCTATAAATGTGTAAAAAAACACCCTGATTGGGGTTTTTTTATTTCAACCATCAAATGAACGTAAGGCTGAGGACCTGACTTATTCTTTGAGTCTTATGATGAACCTGGAAGATAAAAATCACAGAATAATTTGAAATACGTATAAACTTTACATTCAGATATGCCTTCTCTACCTGGGGCCAACCATTTTGCTTCAAGCTGGCAGCTGTTTCATGCATGTTTGTGTTGCCTTTTGGCCACAGGACCAGCTGGGCATCAGAACAGCCCACTGGGCATGTGAAGTGTGGGACTTACAGGCAAGGAGCGATTAACACCCAGATAATATGATGTAATGATTGAGAGTGCGGTATTCAGTTCCCACCCTCTCACTTGCTAAAGGTATGACCGAGTCAGGTAACCTCAATGTATCAGTCTTCCCATCCATAAAATGGGTATCATAATAGCACCTAACTCATAGGACGATGACATTGGCTCATATGTGCTCAAGTACTTAGCACACTCCTGGCTCAGAGCAAACAGAAGAAGTGTTAGCTTCTATTACTTCTCAGACCCATTGGTTCTTCCCAAGGCTGGTGTCTATGAGCCCAGAGCCAACGCTTGATTTGAGTCCGTCTTCTCATGATTTTAGATGACGTGAGGCCTTGCTCACACTTGTGCCTGTGCTTGTTGTCTTGCAGCCAGGAGGAGGAGGAGGAGGCCTCCTCAAGGTACTACGTCCCCAGTTACGAGGAAGTGATGAACACCAACTTCTCAGAAGCGAGGGAACCAGATCACAGCCCGAGGATGAGCATCTCTCTCCCCTCCTATGAGTCCCTGACGGGGCTGGACGAGACCAGCCCCACGACCCCCAGGGCCGACGTGGAGGGCAGCCTGGGGCACCCACCCGACAGGCAGAACTCCAAGTTGGCTAAACGCCTGAAGCCTCTGAAAGTTCGAAGGATTAAATCCGAGAAGCTTCACCTCAAAGACTTTAGGATCAACCTGCCGGACAAAAACGTCCCTCCTCCCTCCATCGAGCCTCTGACTCCCCCGCCGCAGTACGACGAGGTCCAGGAGAAGGCCCCCAACGCCCGGCCCCCCGACTGACGGCCCCTCTCTGGGGTGTTCCCTCCGGTCACTCACCCTCCGCACCAACAGACCCCAATGAAGCCACTCCAGCCACAGTTGAGAAGCGAGGGGACAGGTGCGGACTGAGCAGTTTCGAATGGGGGGTGTGGGTTGGGGAGTCCTGTGGGTCTGGGGTGACGCACGTCCACAGAACCTTCCGTAGCTGGCGCACTGGACGGAGATGCTGTCTCGGATCCCGTGATGCTGCGGACCCCATGGGGGGAGGGGCGGTGCATCTTCCCCATCGTCTTTCCTCAACTGAATCGGTGATGACAACAGCCTCTTTCCGACCAGGAAAGGATGCCTAGTGACTGGTGTGTTTTTGTTTTGCTTTTCACTGAGACTGTTTTGTTTCCAAAAGAAAACAAGTTAAGCCTTTGCTTTCTTCACCCGAGTCCCGAACCGCATGTAGCAAATACGACTCAGCTCTGTGGCAAGGGCGTGGGGCCGTTTTGTGAATTAAGCAGAACAAAGGGCTGGATGACATGTGGGGGTGAGGCCCAGGTGGGGTTCTCAGAGCCCGGACGCCGTTGGTTCTTGGAGGGCCCGAGGCCTGAAGATGCTGAAGACCATCGTCTTAACCGGTACACTTGACTAGTCCCTCCCGTGCAACGGCAGGAAAGCTGGAGGGGATGTTCCGTTCCTTCTAAGATGCCGTGCAGCTGAGCTTTTTATAATAAAATATTTTATTTGTAGTACATGTGGGTGCTGAATTACTTGAGCAGCTCTCCCAAGACCGACTTGCTTATGGAGCAATATCAATCATACTAACAGCTGACCCGTACCCCACACATACTGTATGCCAGGCGCTGTGCTGAGCACCCCACGTATGCTCTCCCATTTCGCCTGTACCCCTTGTGTAGGTGAGTCATGGAGGCTCGGGTTCATTAAAGGGCCCATGCCACAGCGAGAGTAAGAGGCAGGGCTGGGGTTCGAACCCGGCCGTCTGGCTCCAGGGCCTGAGTTCTTAAACACCCCACTGTGCAACTCAACATAAAGGGCTTTTCCAGACGCTGAATGAGGACTTGTGTTCCCCAAGAACAGAGGCAGCCCACAGGCCCCACAGAAAGTTCTGGTGCTTAGCCCTAGCCGGTGTGGCTCAGTGGATAAAGCGTCGGCCTGTGGACTGAAGGGTCCCAGGTTCGATTCTGGTCAAGGACACATGCCCGGGTTGTGGGCTTGATCCCCAGTAGGGGGCGTGCAGGAGGCAGTCGATCAATGATTGAACTCTCATCATTGATGTTTCTATTTCTCTCCCTCTCCCTTCCTCTCTGAAATTAATAAAAATATATTTTTAAAAAAGAAAGTTCTGGTTCTTAGACAGCAGCTCACTACCTATCTGAACATCCTTCCTACATCTCTGTCCCTGAGAACTGGCCACAAGGGAGCTCGGCCCCCAGAACTGCCGGGCTGTGTGGTCATGCAGGTGGGTGAGCATGTCCTTGTGGGGAGGACGAAGGGACTGCCTGCGGGGCCCAGGAACGCAGGTCAACTAAGGAGAACTGCCCAGAGGGTCGCGGACTGCGGAGGAGCGGGGCGTCTGGGAATACAGACCTGGATCCCAAAGAGCCTTCCTAGTATTGGCAAGCGTGGAGGGCCTGTGGGAGCCTGTGTGGCTGGGAGCGTGGTTGGAAGAGTAAATTCTCAGGCCCTAGATGATTCCTAGAAGCTCCTGTGGGCGGGGAGTGGCAGCAGTTAGAAAGTGAACCACTTCTTATCTGGGGGTTGGCAGCAGGTCCTGAAGTTTCAACCTTTGGCTTTCCTGATCCAAATCCTCCTATATAATAAAAGCATAGTATGCCAATTGTCCCCTCGACCGGAGTTTTTCCGGGAGTTCGACCAGGGGGCGGGCCAGCTGGGGGAAGGGAGGGAGGCCTCAGCCGGTGGCAGCAGGTGGCTGGGGGAAGGGAGGGAGTACCTGGCCAGCAGCCACTAGGGACCCTACCAGTGCACGAATTTTGTGCACTGGGCCTCTAGTATATAATAAAACCCTAATATGCAAATCAACCAAATGGCGGAACAACCAGTCACTATGATGCACACTGACCACCAGGGGGGCAGACGCTCAATGCAGGAGCTGCCCCCTGGTGGTCAGTGTGCTCCCACAGGGGGAGTGCCACTCAGCCAGAAGCCGGGCTCACGGCTGGCAAGCGCAGCAGCTCCAAGGCCGTGCTAAGGACCCTTTGGGTCCCGGACTGCCAGAGGGCACAGGCCGGGCTGAGAGACACCCCCTGCCCCAATGCATGAATGTTGTGCACCAGGCCTCTAGTTATCTATAAAGAAGGGAGGGCGGGGATCTGCCTGCTGGCATGGGACACCTGGGGGCCGCTCGGGTCCTGCCCACGGCTGAGCCAGTCCGTGGTTCTCTGTGTGTCTTTGGGCTGGACCTGTTCTGCAGTTACTCTCTATGCCGCCTCCTGATGGGAGGGGAAAG